TGATGATATGGCCTTCAGCTTCCTCCATCGCCACTCCTGGTGAATTGAGTTGGATTATGTCATTTCCTCTGATGCCCTATAATGCAACCTTAAGAATAATGACCCTGCGACGTAGCTGTGCTGCAAATGGCTTTTCTGGTGCCAGAAAGAGATGATTCATATTTGGCTCAGGAACCATTTCTGGAAACTGCCTGAACAGAGGACAGAGTAATTCACTAAAGGGCTCCATCATCCTCCAGGCCAATTTGAAAACAAGGGTTCATCACTGAATACAGACATTTAACGGACACATTTGTGCCTATGCATATGTGTGTGCCACAAAATGTCTGGTTGTATGTCAATATCCAAAAGACAGATGTTGAACATGCATATTCAGTCTTATGTAATTTAAGGGCACAAATGTATCAGATCAGATATTACAGTTATTTCTCATTGTTTAATTTTAATTATGTGCTCAGAAACAAGTTGGTCTGCTCTTACTATGTCCTCAATATGATAAGAGGAGGTCAAGTTGAAACTGTATTTCTGCCATCCTGTGTTTTCTCTTATTCTCATAAAATGACACTAAAAAAAGACATATATGGTGGTTGTCTTAGTTACTCTTGTCATTGTTGGGACAAAATACTTGACATCCAAAGTTAAAAGAGGAACAGTTTATTTAGCTCACAGTTTGTAGAGGTTTCAGTCCATAATCAGCTGGCTCCAAGGCAGGTTGGCACAGAAGGGTGTCACAGAGGAGAAACAGTCCACCGTGTGACAGGCAGAAGGCAGCAAGCAGCAGGCAGCAGCAGCAGCAGCAAGCCTGCCTTTTCTGTCTCCCTTATATTCCATCCAAGCTACCAGACTATTGATTGGTGCCACCCACATCCAGGGCAGGGCTTCCATTATCTGCACCTAGAACTATGCTAAATACAATCAGTGGACTAATTTAGTACCACACATCCTCAATCCCAGCATCACACGCTTAACCCACGTTCATACATCCTAGATTCAGCCACCTCTGAAAAGCCCCACCTATAAGCACACGAGGCTTTGGGGGGACATCTAGATACAAGCCATAGCACTGGTCTTGTCCATTTCTACAGCCTGCCACTGAAGTTCAAGAAGCATCTGGCTGCTTGAGTTGTCTTTACAGTGGGGACAGGCTTTCTACCACTGCTCTGGAAGCCATGTCCTGGCACCTTTTTAGGGAATTGTGTGCACCCTCCCAGGACTCCTTCTGGGCACCTTCTGGGCCCCCTTTAACCACCCAGTTATCATATTCCTCCCTGGCTATGTGTCAAGCTGCACATTTATTTTTCTTAATCTTTTCTCAAAAATCAATTCCATGAGCCCCTTAATCATTTTTATTGATCTCCCTTGAATTCTCTCTAATATGATGGTGCCTATCTGCCCCAGTAGGCTGGCATTTTCTGCCTCAGTTCTCGTCCCTCCATGTTCAGCTGCAGCTGGGTTCCATGTAGAATTTACCATGAGGGACAGGTGGCTTTTGCCTCAAAACATACACTTCCCACTAGTTTCTGAGACTCAAAAATACACTCTAGGGGAAACTAACAACTTGGTTCATGCTCACTTGCATGAATTTTTTGCTCTCAGATCCTGCTTTGAATATGGCTTTCAATTACTAAGTCTCTGGTTCTTCCCCAGGTCACTGCTCTGAATTTCTCAGGCCACAAATCTAACTTTCCGTGGGTATCGCTCCCTCCCACCTCCTTGATAAGCTGCATTGTATGTCAGCTAACAGTTGCAAGCCTCAATGAGAAGAGGAATAAAATACTGTTAAAAATCTTTAATTTGTAAAGGTGGCAAGCTTGTACATGCAAAGGGTTTACCTGATAAACAACAAAGAAAACACAAGAAGTAAACAAGAGACTTGGGAAATGACATAGATTAAATTACTATGTGGGTGTCAGGGGGCTGAGGACAGGCCATGCAAGATAATATCTGTTAACTTTTCATAAGCACCACTGGCTGCCCTATGTCTTTTTTTAACACAGGCTATTTAAATGTAGAGAAAACATCTGTGAAAAACACAATGATTTTGGTCATTTTTGCAGAGGCAGAAACTAAAGCATAGAAACAAGCAGAAGTCAATCTGGTCATGAACAAGTTGACAGAGGATAGGATTTAAACCCATACCAACTGCTTCTGACTCTGCAGAATTTATCACTTCTTAGTGCAATAAAATAAAAAACATTGGGAAAAATATTGGTCTGCTCAGTAGGTGATCTGTGAGATATCTACCCTACCTTGGTAATCTAAAAACATACACATGAAACTTTCTAAGAGTCAAGTTTCCAACAATATCATGTCAATATCATGTCAACAAAAGGATGTTCAGGAAAGTAGACAATTCTGGTTGGAAAATTAGCTCATTATTTGTAATTTACATGAAAGCTTTTCTGTGATTAATGAATCACAACAGTATTTTAAATTCTGCCATCTTTCCTTGGGAACGTAGCTTTGTACACATATGTTCAAGTTTCTGACTATGCATTTGCACAAATCCACCTGGGGGGAAAGACAGAAATTTACCTGCAGAAGTATAATCCAGAAGAAAGGCAACTGATCTTAGCTTCTTCTTAACTTATCATATCCCTTTGACCTTTGCAAGTCCAACAAGTTTAGAACCTTGTTTGTAAGAGAAGCCAGCTAAATCAAATCCATATTCATCAAATCTTCCTGTTTGGGTCACTCATTATGTTAAAATGGAAAGTAGTATTTCAAGGAGATTCAATTTATGTCCTAAAGGACATAAGAACCATTCTTAAAATATGAACAATTTCTGCCGTGAATTTTTAGTGGCAACCTCTGGTCAGATCTCTGAGATCTGTTCCAATGAGCTCAAGATGAATTTCTCATTTTTCACTCCCAGAGTTTAGAAGTCTGCAAGATTGAGAGTTTTTGGTCTATGACTCACTGCCTGTCAGTAAGTGCTTCTGGCCCTGTCAATAAATTTGCTCACAGCTCTAATTGTGCTAATGAATTGAACATAACTAGACTTACAACATCATGGGTTTCTTCTGGCAGAACTCCGTAGATTTTTCAGAAAAGATCTCAGTGGGAAAACAAATAAATGTACTGCATAACTTCTCCTATCAAGATGCAGTCTCCATGGAGAGGAGACAAACGGGGGATTCTGAACTTGGCTTTGTGAGGACTACTCCTCTCTGAATAAAGTTTTATTCGATTTGCAATGATGTGACATTGTGCCCTTGGATTAAATGCAGTGGGTTGCAAGCTGCTTTAGGGTAGAAACTATGTATTGTTTTCTTTGTCCCCAGTAGCTTGTTGAGGGCCTATTCTACCAACCATAGCGGGCGACTGACTATAAATTCAGTATAAAGAGTTCAGGTTGGCTACAAATGGAAGGAGCCCACTGCTCTGTGGTCCCTTCCTGTGTGCTGGTCACAGTGCCAGGACTCTTACAAGCCAAATTGTTCTCAAACCCCACAAACCCCACTGAAATGAGCCAGTCAGCTCCATTTGATATGGGAGGAAGCTGGAGCTCAAAGAGGGTAAGTGACTAATCCTAAAGTCTGAGCTTAAGAGAATTTGGAACTTGAGATTCAAAACCAGGTCTGTCTGGTTTCAAAGCTTATTCTTCTTCCACAGGCCCAGAATGCCCACAGAACCTACCTGAGAGGGTAGGCTTGCTGTTTGGATCCTTGCTTGACCCCTTGAACAAGCACTGCAAAAAGTTATTCAGCATTCTCTAGGCACCAAATGCCTTGCTTAAATGATTGGCCATTGCCTAAATCCTTTTCTAAAGAATGAAATTTGTTGGCAATGAAGAAGCTTTGCAGCTTTTGTCAGGGTCTCTTCTACTTACATGAGGTCTTCAAAGCTTTGCTTTTCTCTCTTCTGCAGTGGAGGAAGTCGAGGGTCTTTCATACCTTGAGCACTGAAGAAGTACTCATGGGTAGCAGTCCTTTCATTTGAATAACTGTTTTACAAACTGTTGCTGCCCAAAGAGCACCATTTGGAACTTCCAAGACCTAACAGTTGGGTTCTGGGCAATGCTCATTACTTACGGCACAATAAAAGGGGAACAAAGAGGTTTACGTTCGTTCTGACCCCTCCACCACGCCCTGTCTTGCTCTGGCCTAACAGAGCAGCCCCTGAGCGGGGCAGAGCGCTGGCTTGATTTCCATTGCACAGACAGAGTCGGCAAACAGCACAGTGAGCCCCTGTGATGGGCTCCTCTCCCTCCTCCTACAGGTCACCACCCCAGGGACAGCACCTAGTGGCCACTCCCCTGGGAAAGCCAGGCAGTTCAGGAGCACGGGTGGGAGGCAGGAGGCAGACAGCTCCTCCCAGAGGCCCATCTCCCAAGCAGGGGCAGACTGGGTGAGCCCCGGGGTCCCCAGGCCCTGGAGAGGTCCCATGCACAGTGCAGGGTGGGTCACAGGGCAGCACAGCTCCATTTGTCTGAGGAGCCCAAGAGAAAGGATGTTTTAGACAAGTCATCAAGGACCCTCGAATGTCCGAACAGTTCATGCCAAATCCAAATCTCAGCATTCTCTCCAGGAACTATGCTAACTGCTTATACCTGGAAATACGCAAGAACATGGAGCACCCAGGGCCCTGATAATAGAAACTAGCCTGAAGTTAACTCTAGAGAAGGAGGCCTCAGGATAAGGATTCAGTTGGTACCAGGCCAGCAGCTTTGGAAAGATTTGGAGGCCTCGAGACAGCAGATCTGTGACGCCCAGGGTGGAAAACTGGCAAAGCAGCTCTCACTTTGTCCTGCGCACAGGAGAGAGGCTAGGAGCGGAGCAGTAGTTCACTAGCAGTGCCTTCTAAGGCTCGGTGTCTCTCCTCAAAGACCGTGAGCACGACACAAGCCTTGGCTTGGAGCTGACCAGTACATTCAATGCATTTTGGTAAGCAGTTACACTTACCAATATAGGATTCATGAACTGAATTTAAAGATTATGCTTGAAACTCAATTAAGAGGCAGAATTATTATGGATCCTCCAATACTCTGCCTTATTTTACAACAGTGAGTAGGAATGTCATTTATGTTAATACAAATAAAGAACTAGCTGCGTGTGAGCAGGACAGAAAGGAGAGGCCAACTGGGAGGAAGGCAGGTGGGGAGAGCCCCAGGCATTTTGTGGGGACCAGAAAACACTCGGACTGAAGGTCATGTTCTCCCCATGTGGATTCGGAAGGAGTGTTCTGGTCCACGGTGGCCCACGGGTGGAGATCTAGAATAAAGAATTCCAGCCCATGTGTAAATCAGGCCTCATCCTGAGACCTGCGTGCGCAGATCCTAGGACGAGGTGGAGTTAGTGCTTACCCTGAGGGATCCCGGGCGACCCCACAGGCAGGGACACCTGCAGGAGAAGCTGATGCAGGAGCCTGGGGCAGGGCGAGCAAGGGGAGCTGCTGATCTCTCATCTCAGTAAGCAACTGGGACAGGGACAGGTGGCCGAGTCCTCTGAACTGAAAGAGAATCGACAGTGTGATGGGCGCTGTGTCTTCCACCAGGAAGTTTTCAAAGCAGAGATTGGGTAGAGGGGGTGGGGATGGAGAGAAGACCCCAGCACAGAGAGGGAGACGGGGGGAGGCTTAGGTGTCCTCAGAGATGACATCCGTCCACGGGGAAGGAATGGCAGTTTTCATCAAAGCACCCAGTATTGCTATTCTGAGTTTTCCTGGCTTCAGCGTAAGAAGGCCGTGAGACCAGCACCCGCCGTGGAGACATCACGGCCTTGAGTCCCAGCCGCCTCAGCTGGGCGGGGCTGGGGAGCCTGGAGGCGGTGTCTGTGAACGGCCCCAGCGGGCTCACGCGTGTTCTGGGGACCCCTCCTCCGCTGTCCGGGTGGCCTGGGGGTGACTGGGACAGGCAGCTGACATGGGAGGCTGGGAGGCGGCATCGGTCCCCACCAAGGTGGAAGACTGCCCAGGGGCGAGTCTGCCCACGGCCCGCAGCCGACCACGTGGCTGCTCCCTGGGCCTCGCTTCCCGGTGTCATCTCCAAGGGAAGTCTCTCTCTGCGCACGAGTGCTGGGCTGTCACCTTCGCTCGGGCGGCCCGTGCTCCCTGTCACGTGCGTCACACACATGGTGCCCAGCGGGGTGCGGCCGCAGTCCCAGGCCCTGCTCTGAGGGCATCTGCCAATCCTGCCAACCCATGACGCCAACCTCAGCACCACCTTTTCCCGGGCTTCTCGCTGAATCACCCAATTAGCTCAAATCATCTCTGACTGCTCTGAACCGTGTCTTGTTAAAACACGGGTGGGGGGGCCCAGGGAGTCCAGAAGTCACTCAAAGCACAAAGCCTCTGAGTGCCCCTGGCGCCCGAACCGCCAGCATCTCTTAGTAACCTGGCTGGCGGAATTAGCACCCAGGTTTTAGAACCTGGGAAGACCTTCTGGGCACTGCCTTTCCTTCCTCCTAACGTTTCCTCCAGCGTCTTTCACAGCCTAAAAGCAAAACTGCACGTCTCAATTTGGGGGAAGGAAAAAGAACTTTGTGCTCAAGGGATCGATGATGTATTATATCACAGATTATCTCTCCTTTCACAGCTGCGCCTCAGCTCATCGTATCCTGGTGACAATCTCAGTACCTGTGCCCAAGAGTTTACTTGTCACATTCAGGTCTCAGCAGCTCTGTGTCCACGGCTGACAGGACTGAGGGTCTCTGGGACGACAGGGTTCTCAGCATGCTCCGCTGAAGGCTGCCACCTTCTGTATGGAGAGGTGCCTTGGAAACCATGTCTAACACCCTGGAATTCTGTCTGCTTCAAAGTTCTGTGGCTCTGATTCCAACTAATTTTAGTTCATCAAATCATATTGAGGGCAGGGTAAAAGCTAATGAGAACTTAATATTGAGAGAAGCTCATAAAAACATGCTTTTGACAGTACACAAAAGGCTTCCATGAGCTCCAAAACGGCCCTTTGGAGGTAATTTATTTGTTAGAAGTGCAACAGCCCCATTTAGAGAGAACCTTTCACTACCACTGCTGTTTATCCTTGGACCTGAGAACTATTCCAGTGTCTTACCCAAGGGATGTATCAAAAACGTCTATCAGTCACTTCCGCAGGCAGGCAGACTCCTGGAACTTTCACAAGTGAAAACGGCAAACAGAAGCCACAAAGAACACCTGCGCTTTAGAGGTGATGTCTGCCTTAATTATTTGCAAATCGCTGTGATATTATGGTTGACATCATGAAGGGGGTGAAGAACCACACACAAATCAAGCTTTTTTCTATATTTAAAGTATTTCTTGCAACTAAATGGATTATTTTAGGTTTGCACATTCCGTGTAATTAGTGCATATGGTCCAGCTGTGAAGAAATAGCTGAGGACTCCTAACTTATTATTAATTAGGCTCATTAAAATGCAAGAAAGAGAACGTTGCCTAGGTAAACAATACCTTATGTCGGAAAGTCATTACTTGATGAGAGCTAGTCTTCCTAACTAAAGTCATTACTGATATTTTGTGGAAGGTTTTTTAAGGCTCCACGGGTGCCAGTTAACTACTTTTGACTGACATCAAGGACGGACACACGGAGCTGGAAGAGGCCCGTGGTACCACAGAACAATTCTTTCCACATCATTTCAAAATACGTCTGGGGGAGGTTAAAGGTTGACAGCCAATGACAGGCCTTCTTCAGCTGCTGGGGTGTCACAGCAGGAGCATGTCAGGAAAATTTCCTCGGCCCCTCTGAATTTCTTACATGTTCACATTTCTTTTCCTGTCTCACAAGTAGGGAGGGATTGGCAGCTTCGTGACAAACACCTGGGAAAGAGAAATGTGCATTATCCCCGTTAGGAGGCAGGGAGGCGTCGAGGTGAAAGACAGCTAGTTCTGGGGGGATGGACGTCTCTCCTGATACTTTGTGGACAAGAGGGGACCAGAGGCTGGACCGTGTGCAGGCACTTCGCCCATGGGTGCCCCTCTTACAGCTTCATGCACTTTTCCAAGGGAGGGTACATGTCGGCTGTGGCTTTCACTGCCTGGAAATGCAGGTCCCCAGCCTGGTAATTCAAGACTTAGCCCACTTTGCCGGGGTCTCCCCAGTTTGCTCAAAGTGTGCAACTCGAGGCCCCAGGAGCGGGATGCAAAGATGAACTCCGCCCAGACTCCCACCCTGGGGCCTCAGGGAGCTCCAGGCTTTGGGGCCTGACGCTGGAGTCAAGACTGAGTCTCTGGATGATTCCCCGGGCATTGTCTTCTCCCTCAGGGTGCTTGCTTGGAGAGCCATGGAGGCAGCAGCATATGCCAGCTGAGAGCTGGAGTTTTAGAAATGTTTCCCTGTCTTTAAAAGTCCATGCACGCCTCCATATGCATCACTGCAGGGATGCAGCTCTGGTCTAAATGGATCAAAAGAGGCTATTGACAGATGCTGGAATGAGTGTCTACCTTTAACACTGGGTCAATGAATAAGTGTCTGACCTAGACTTTTGACTGACATGAAGAGCTGTCAGGAAGAAATCTTTCTAGTGATGACGGTGTAGCAGGAGGAGAGGCCAGAGTGGAAAGAGAAGCCCAGGGAAGGATTTCACTGGCAGGAGGACAAACTATGTCCCCTCTGACCCAGTCCTGGAAGCTGCATGCTTGATAATAAAGTTCAGCACCAATGCTGCCTTGGGATGGGAGGCATACAGTTAAATCTGGAAATTCCATAATGGGATTTGGGGGAAAAAACCCCAAAAAACTAATTAATGTTTGCTTCAACTGATACAGTATTATCGCTGATATTATTTTAAATTCTCATTCCAAAAGGATTATAGAAAAAATATTAAATTTAAAGAAAAATTTGCCCACATGATCCCATAGGAAAGTTTGAAGCCTTCAACTGAAACAGACACTGGAATATTAGACGGGATCCTGAATGGCCCACCCTTTGCTATTCTTTGTTAGCCCTGGGCATGTGACCTCTCTGGGGAGAATATGGCAGGGTACCCCCTGTTTTGCAATATCATTTATTCTACGTTTTAACCTAACTATGTCTGCCAAATTATTTCCCTTGGGCACCTTCCCATGTCTGGAAGCTGCCATCTGTATTTCAGATCCCCACTTCCCGGTTCTGATGGTGTTTCCGGTTTGGTTCTTGAATAGGGTGCTCCCCAAACCCGAGACTGTCCATTGCATAATAGTGACTGCTCTGCTTCCCATCCAAGGGAATTGTCACTGTCGGGTAAAAGGGCTGAAGACCAAGACCAGACCAGGCCACAACAAGCCTTTATTAGGGGAACAGATCTGCCGGGCCGTCTCTGAACAAAGGAGAGACAAAAGCAATATGGTCGGGGCAGGGAGAGTCTTTTATAGAGACTGGGGTGGGGTTTGTAGGGGCAGAGGTGGGGTTGAGTGAGGTAGTGACTAGGGAATGGAGGAGCTGGTGATGTCACTAGGTGGTAGGAGGTGAGCAAGTATTAGGTTACTTTCTAGGTGGGAACAGGGGCATGCTGGGAAGAAGGGTTTATTCTTTGGTGGGAGCAACCATCTTGGAATGATGTCACCCAGGGGAGGGGGCAAGGCAGGATAGCAAGAGGGCCGCTACTCTACATAATAACTGCTGAGGTGGTGGGAGACCTATCAGTCACCGCTTCCTGTTCATGAGGAGACTGTGGCTCAGAGAGGCTGAGGACCCAGCTGAAGGACAGCTGACTCGCTGTTAGGACCTGGGGTCTGACTGGAAGGGGCAGAAGGTTGGGGTTGTGGCCTGGAAGGGTGCATCTTCCTCCCCAGCTCCTTGCTTGATGTCTCTGCTTCCTTTCCTCTTTACTGGGAGCAGGTCTCTGCCACCACGGCCCTGCCCTGGAGACAGCCGACTCTGGACTGAAACACGAGCCAAAAGAGACTCCTTCTCCTTAGTTTGTGTCTATAGGGTGCCGTGTCTCCATGACAAGAAAGTAACTGAGACATGGGAAGAGGCTCAAGTCCTCTCCTAGTCCCTTCTTCCACCTCACCAGCTCTCTGCCCTGCAGCGGGGACCTCTAGGAGCTACACGAAGGGCCCCCCATCTCCCAACAGCTGTGTCCTTGGCCCCAGCCCTTGAGTCCTCACACAGGCAGAAGGGAGGTGGAGTAAGGGCCCAGGCTATGAACTCTCCTGGCTTCTTGTAAGCCACCTCTAAAAAGGGCACAGCTACTCTGAAGGAGACAATGGTGTACTCCTCAAGATTCCAATACTCTCTCCTCCTCTTCCTTTTGAGCCTGAGGATGGTGACTACTCAGCTAGCCCTTGATACTCAGTGTCCCTAGGAGTCCCCACAACCTATCCACACCTTTGTGATTGGCCTTTGAGCTTAGCCCCTCCTGAGTAGCCGTACCTGGGTCTGTTACCTGGTGACCCTAACTGTTCAGGCTCTGCCATATGTGTTTGCTCCCTATAGACACAAGACATTTTTCTGCATGCATTCAGAAACCAGGCAGGTCTACAAGACCGAGTGAGTCCCAACACAGGAGGTGGCCAAGCACATCCCTCTAGTACTACTGGAGCCAGGTCAGGTCCAAATTCCCAAGTCAAAGAATTTCATCCTAGGCAACCTCTTATTTAGTGCCACTAGCACTTCCCATATATCATCTAATGTACCTATTTGACACTCCCCTAGTGTCTCCATCAGCTTTGTGCTGCTGCACCAGAAAACCTGAGGCCAAGAAATATATAGAGAAATAAAGTCTCGGTTCCAAGATCCCGGAGCATGGTGCTGGCTTCTGCTGGGCTCTGATGGCATCGGAAAGCAAGACTGGATGCAGAAGAGATCACAGAGCAAGACAGGAGCCAGACAGCTGGCAGAGGCAGGGCCTGCTCTTTCTATAACAAGCAGTTCTCAAAGGAAGTGATCTATTTGAGACCAGCATGATCCCTTCTGAGAGTGAGGTCCCACACAGCTTGGAAGTCACACACAAGCCCATCCACACCAGGACCCTGGGCATTGTGTATTTCACCCCATGTTATGAACAAGGAAACTGAGCCTGAGGTTAGCAACTGGCCGGAAGCCACACAGTAGATGGCAGAACTGGAAAGCGCCCAGTGGCAATGGTCCTACATTTCCTGGAGAAACTTGGCAGTTGGCAAAAGTAGCAGAGGCCGACATGACCTACAGGACATTCCAAAGACCTTGGTCTCCCAAAACATGAAAGAGTTCATGTGCTCTGCTTCATGTGAAGTAAGTCTATGGTGATACTCATGGGAGCTGTTTCGGGACACTTGAATATGGGATGTTGAAGGTCATTTCAGACCCTGTGCCCCCAAAGGGAGACTTCATCCCACCAGCTGCAAATGTGCCCCTCAGCAGCTGGTCCTGCCCAGTTCCTGGCCATTTCCCCTTTCCAGCTACTGAGATTCAATACCTCTGGCATCCTGGATCCCTCTCTACCTCTCAGGTGTCTGCCCTGGGGGGTTGGCCAGTGCCCTCTCCAAAAGTCATGTCCACCAGAACCTCAGAACGTGACCTTGTTTGGAAAAGGGTCTTTGTGGGTAGAATTATAGAAAGAGATGAGCTCATACTGGATTAGGGTGAGTCCTAAATCCCCTGAGTGATGTTGCCAGGAGAACAGGAGAAGAAACAGGGGCCACATGGAGTGGAAGGTGATGAGCCGAAGCACACAGGGGTTGGAGTGAGGACGTCAGGAGCCCACAAGTCCCAAAGACAGAGAGAGCTAAGCTGCTGACACTTGCTTAGCACCTGTAACTCCTGAATAGTCAGAGGATCAATTCCTCACTTTAATCCACTG